AGGTGCAATAGTCCAATAATGGTGTAAGCATGGTTCAAATACTCAGATCAGATACTCACTGGATAGTCTCTCATTAGCTTCATCATGGAGCTGGAGGTTCTCTGTGTTTTTTTAGATTCTGTATGGTGTTAAGTTTGACTTTGAACCAGGAACTTTACCTAGTACTTCAGATTAACTGCAAATGAATATCCTGCTCAGCGGTGTTTTCTCCTTCAGGAACCAAATGCCCCATTATTTATTTGATTGCATGGAGACTGAGTCGAATAGAGACAATCTGGTAGAGCAGCTCTTACTATTCCCTTATTTAAGCAGACTGGTCAGAGGGAAAGCCTTAAAAAAGCACTGCTTGTGAGGAATTTTATCACATTCTAATCACTCTGATACTCACTAAAAAATTCCCATCCTCCAATATTGGTCACAAATTCTGCAAAATGGGTGCAACAGCCGTGGTGCGATAGGCAGGGCTGTGCTTTTCAAAGAAAGATTTAATATGGATGAGGCTGAAGGTTTTGAGTGCAAGCCTGCTGCTTTGCTGCCCACTGAAGACTTGATGTGGCCAGTGGTTTGCCACTAGACTTTCCAAAAAGCTGGCCCTATCCAAACAAAATGTTTCTCCCACCACAAGCTTCCAGTGAAATTCACTCATTGCATTTTCCACCCCCATTGCCAGACTCCCATTGGAGTCTGTTCTATGGATTCTGCGGGAAGGCAGCAAGGAGAAGAGGAGATGGGGTACACACAACCATGCAGGTTCTTCTCTGGTGCTCGTTAGAGGCTGACCCTGATCAGAAAGAACAGCCTGCTCTTTCTTTGCTCTAGTGTTAGTGTTACAGGTTTGCCATAGAGATCCTAAGTTCAGTCCAACTCATGACAACGTTGCACATATTTAATGTGGACAATGCTGATTATACCATAACTGTTTTTCATTCACATACATGCAGGGGTAGTAAAATTGATATGGAACAAACTCAAAATGATGGGGAAATTCCTACAAAAGTGAATTTGGATGCCAGTTACAAATGATTTCCAGAAGGGCTGGAAAGCCCAGATTGTAGAAATAATTTTTTGTCTTTTTTTGGTATTTATTCAAGCACAAAACATGTGGACTGTTGCCTGAATTCTTCTCCCTGTCCAAATTTCAACCAACCAATTAACATTTCTCAGATAGTTACAATAGTTGGATCTACGTTCATTGTGGTTTTTTGTTTTATGCAGTAATCAGTTTGGACTGGACTACATTTATTCATATTACTGATTACTAAAATATTTTCCTTGTAACCCAGTAAAAACACAGTGAAGGCTCAGTTCTAGTTTCAAAATTATGTACATATATATGTATGTACGTATATTATCTGGTGGGGAATGAATTTGTTGAGCAGTGAGGGTTGGAGCTACACTCACAGCTGAAATGTGTTATTTATCAGCAGATCTTCACAGTCAGCACTGCACAGCATGTGAACTTCCTTGCACCACTCTGCCAAAGCTCCCCATGGCTGACCTGCTTGCTGGCTTGAGCTTCAGGGAGCTCCCAGCCTCCAGCTGGTGATTCCATTTCTGTGCTGCCTGTGCCTGTCGCGGAACCCAGCTTTGCCTTTCCTTCTGCCCTAGCACAAGATAAGAAAATGCCAAAGGTGTCTCTCTCCCACTGGTTTGAGTGGGAGAAGCCTAGAGTGTGACTGCTGCTGCCCCCTCCTTTTATTTACTGATAGACCTTCTGTAAGCTGTAATACTTGTAGTTTGAATAATCCATTTGTCCAGCCACTGCCTGTCATTTATAAAAGTTCCTACAGAGAGGCTCTACAGAGAAGAAAAAAAAAAAAAGTGAACTGATTTGCTGTGAACATCATGGTTTAAGAAGGAGCCTACATGAACATGCTGTGTGTTTTTCCATCTTGTGCTCCCTCCTCCCCCCTTTTTTTCCATCTTATTTTTAAGAATTCTTCAGGCAATGAGGACAGCTGAAATTTTTAAAATCAGAGGTGTCCAGAAAATGGAAAGTCCTTGTCCATTTTCACCTTACTGGGACTGGTTTCCTAAAATAACACCCAGTGAGTATACAGAATATTTTAAAAGGCCTTAAAACCTTATTTATATTCAGAATTTTATGTTGGAGTTTGAGCTTTTATGGAGTATTAGAGTTGTCATTTGATTAGCACTAAATGACATATCCAGGCTGAAGGGTGAGAGCTGTGCCTCTCCCCAGGAGACGAAGACCATCCTGGCTCTGTAGAGAGTTCAAGTGAGAAAATGGAGGTACCAGGAAACTTTAAAATTCAATACGGACAGACTGTGGTGGATATTTATACAGTGGAGACAGCTCTCAGTCTGGATTTTGCTCTGAACTTTTTATGAGACGTGTACTTTCCAGTCTCAGATGGTCAGACTACTTCAAAGAGATCTGCGAAAGGAAAACAAGTACATTAATATTTTACCTACATAACAGTCTACCTATGTGAAATGCAAAGTAAAAGGGTCTGCAGCCTTCTCTGCAAGAATGTTAGGGTGAATTTCACAAACTGGAAAGATTAAAAATACTGATTTGAGAGTATAAAGCAACAGCAGAAGTAGACAAGGAAAGAAAAAGTGAGCTATTAAGAAAGGCCAAAGTAATAGTATGTTTAATTATGAGAGGCAGGTGAATGAGAGGTATCTAGAAGACCAAAATGCCAGTTTCGTCAATTGGGAATTGCTCGAGACAGCCAGTATGAAGAAAGCAGGAATCATGTTCTCACTGCTTCTGTCCTTACCTCAGAAGTCTCACCTACCTTCTGACTCGCCTAAACCTTACACATAACCTTCCAATAAGATACACAGTGAACCCAGCTGTCGCACTGCTCAGGCTTGTATCACACCAACCATTTGTCCTTGTTCAGGAGACAGGAAAAAGTATTTTGGAAACTTCAACAACAGCTGCTGCTGGGCAACAAGAACTTCATGAAAACTGTTTCTATCCAAGAGCTTTCAGCTGAAAAGGTTAATAATATCAGCAAGAAATCATCATTAGAAGAATAAAAACTTCTGTTAATAAGCACTCGTCATCTGAAGAATCCCAAAGAAATTACAAATCCAAGCTGACTGAACTGCAGCCACCACCGGGAAAGACAGTATAGTCATGAGCAATCTGCTTATAGCAAGTCATGTGCAATGAAAAGGGAGAGGAAAAAGAAATTGTAGCATTTTGAAGAAAAACTACTATTATGCATTCTTGAGTGGTACTACAGTGATTCTGATTTTAGAGTCTCATCTGAATTCAAGGTTTTCCCAATAGGAGGATTGATTACACAATGATGGAGCCTTTTCAGCCACAGAATCCCTTAGAAATATTTCACAGATGCTTTGAAAACCAGTGACCTGTGCCTTTCTCTGTGCTACTGAGGATTGTATTTGCTTCCACAATGTTCTTATCCCTGACATTTAAAAATAATATTAATTTACAATTAATATTAATATAAATTGATTAAACAGATCATACTCTACAGAATGTGCCATCAGATGATATCTGCATTTCTTTTGCTGTCCCTCCTGGGCCCGGACAGACACAACAGTAAAATGATAGGCTCATACATTAAGTGAAGATGTAGAGACTGGGACTTGTGATGGACGTACAGACTAGATAAACAAGAGTCCAAGAGCTCAATACCTTTCGCTAAGAATATCCTAGTTCTGTGGCCTAGAATTTCAAATGTGAAGTAAGGACTTCTCCCAAACCACCTAATAGGATGCCAAGTACTTCTGTGTTGAAAAGGAGAAACTGCCAAGATTCCAGCATGACATAGTTTTCTAAAATAAATTCACTGAAACTGGTACCTACAAATGCTTCCAGTGGCAAAGAGAAGATGAACAGTAGTAGAAAGATTGTGTTATTGTGCATTGCTGAAATTTGAAGGGGTTGTTGTGTATGAAACCTTGTTATGGAACTCTGTTTTTCATCCAGTCTTTCCAACAAGTGAGGCAAATTTCTATGTTTTGCTTGTAGAGAACTTCCTATCTGCTACAGGTTCCCAAATGAGTATCTCCTAAGGAGAGAGGGGATGGGGAGGTAGCTGCAGCAATACAGAACACTTGCTAAAGTACAGCTTCCTAAAGCCATGTTATTCACCAGTGGTTCTGCTCTATGTTCTTTTGTGCACCGTATTTCATTTTGCAACCAACTATGTGCTTTCCAGGCTGATACACTGCATTACAAATGTCTAAGAATGACCAAGTCACATTGCAATCTCTGTGGATAATTTAATGTTCAACAGTTTTCAAGTTAGGTCTTGTGATGATGAACAGAAATCTTGGCCACTGATTCAGTGTCAGATATGAACTGAAATGCCATCCTTATGTGCTGTTTAATGCAAAACAGCCACAGTGAGTTTTGAATCCTATCATCATTTCAGAACGCTTTCTCTTGGTCTGTTTATACGTTCAATGCAAACACATTCTCAGATCTCCTGCGGCAGGAACTAAGTGGCCATGTCCTTGGTACTCAGTTCCATTGGTAAAGATTTTACCAGTTGCAACATGATGCGGCTTCCTAGCAAAGGGAAACTGAACACGTAGTTTGGGATAACAATTAGGAGGATTTAAATGACAAATTTCCTACAGACTCACAAGAAATGCAAGCAATAATCATAACGAATCAAACCTTAAAATCATTCTTCATTAGGCGCTGTAACGTAGGTAAATATATTCATAAATTTAGTAACAGAAACTTAAAAAATACTGATTCTTGTACTGATGTGTACCAAATGTACCCACTGTGGCACAAAAAAAAAAAAGCAGATTAATTTTCATCAGAAGTGATATAGACAGGTTATTTTATGGATGTCATTATGCATGCTACATCCAACAATTAGTTCAGTCAATTTGGTTTACGAGTCATATGAAGTACATCTGCTAGCGACACGAGATTTACACCTGTGATCAATACCTCATGTGGCTAATTATAGAAAAAATGGTCACAGCGCAGTTGTGATTGTTTAGGTAAAAGTAAGAAGGAAAAACATATTCCCTACCTTCTCAGCATCTTGTTCAAAAAGTCGAAGTTGAAAGCACTGGTCTAGTTTCAACTTGCGGACATGCCACATCTGATGTAAGTGTTGCCGGGTAGAATGCAGCTTGTCTAAAAGGCTGGTAATCTTTGGCACAAGACTTTGAAAATCCGCACTTCCAGGAATGCAGTTCCTACCGGAAAAACCATCACTGCACCTTATGCACTGTAACAACCTCTGACCCTCACGGTCCAGTTCCTCCACAGGAGCCTTAATCACTTTTTTCTTAAGCTGTGTGTGCTCATCAATCAGCCTCCTGGAGCCCTCAACGTCAACTGGAAACTCCTTCCTAGCCAACATTTCCTGGAGGTCCTCCAGCCTTGATAATAAATGGATGGCACTGTTGAAAAACTCTTCCAAGGAGACACGCAGCTCTATCCATTCATCGTGGTTGTAATCCAAGGATCCTTCAAACTCATCTGTCAGTTGTGATGGATCTACAAGTTTTGCCAGGCCTTCAACAGATACCATACTTGTCTAAGGAAGAGAAAACGACAGCATTTGAATTAGTGACCGTGACCAGAAATAATGGTGTAACCCACAAATAGCATGAGAGGATTATTTTCCTCATCAATACATAATTGCAACAACATTGCAAAAGATACTGTGGACTATGTTTAACTTTAAAGAATGAACGGATTGAAAATGTTCCCATTAATTACCTGTTTATAAAACAGGTAAATGGTATTAAATGGTTCTGTGGCTTACGTTGCATTCAGGCTAGCGGCTGTACTGCAGCAAACATTTTGGGCACTTAAAGTAGGTATTGTGAACTGCCAAAACACACAATATGCTGGCTTTTTTTTTTCTCTTCCAAATCATTCCAGTTCGCTTTTGCCACAGGCAGAGCTCTTTCACATTAGTAATTTCTAATTCAATTAAGCCAAAATCAATGCAAAAGTGAAATGTCACCGAAGTATTAACAATTAGAATTTATTGCTAATAGAAAGAATGGCTCATGAGTCCATGAATCATACACAATCAATGAGAGATGGTTTTAATTCATTTAGACTCAGTAATCAGAGATAAAGAAATGCAATGGGTGTCGGGAAAACAACTTTCAGTTTAAGGATCTAACAACTGTTGTTCGTTCCCATTTATTTTAGACAAATCAATTTTTTTTTTCTGAAATATGAGCATAAAGTTTCAAATGTTATTATAGATTTTCTGTGCTGTCATTTAACACCCAAGTTGGTAGCCCTTAAAGAACTGCAGTATTCACCAGTGGCTGCACATCTACTCCCACAAAATCAGGCCTCTAAGAAATGTCAGAGTTTGTGCTCTTCAGAGGCGGATGCACCCAATAATCACAGAAATCTTGTAAATGTCATCTGTAAAGAAAAATACTTAATGTCTGTCCATTATCCTGAACTGTGTCCAAAAGAACAGACTTCCCACTGGTTTTAAGTTAATAATAGGGTTTTCTTCCAATTTTTATCCATCTGAAACTATCAGGCATTCTGCAATGTATTAAGATGGGAATTCTAGAATTCTATTGAATACATGCTCAGCAGAAAGATTATTTTAGAAAAAGCTTTCAATGTTCTTTGGTTTGGTGAAAAGGGAGGAGCCAAACTATGGAAAAGTAAACATGCAGCTTCAGAGGGATCTCAAAATTCTAAACCTCCAGACACTAACTCCTTGAAAAGAATTAAGCTTAGATTTTAACTGCCTGACAAGAAAAGTATCTCTCTGTGGCCAGTACCTGGCATTTCCCCTGCAGTTCTTCAAGCTAATGCAAGCATTGCTCTTACCATGCTGAGAATTTGGCATGACAATAGAGCAGAAAGGCTTTCCATTAGGAGATTTCTGTAGCACATTTCTTCACTCAGATTTGTTTCTCTGAGGAGATTCTCATGAAAACAATCTTAGTTAGGCAGGTAAGTGGTAAGACAAAGTAAAAGTAACTCAGGGATCACCCATCTTTCTTCTAAAATTCACTTTAAAGAGCACTGCCCACTATTAAAGCCTATGGCAAGAGAAATAAAAGAATCTTGAAAGCACTCCTGGATTAATGCTAACTAAGGAGCCCGACCCATTCCTCAAAATGGCAGGGCATTCTGGAATCTGCATAGGTGAACCAAACCTTGTCCTTTTTTTCTTATTATTCCGTGTCTGATGAACTGCAGGGCATGTTTCTCTTTCCAGACTGTAACACAGAATCATTCTGCCAGAGGTTCACAATGCAGTGTCCAGATCATTAGCCTCCACCATGGCCATGCTCTGTCCTGGCACAGGCATAATGCTTTCATTAAGCTCAGAAGCAGAAGTTGGCTAAAAAAACAGACACTGGCAACTGTTTAGTTTGTAGATGGGGTGATTCAACAGAGACTTCCATTGCCTTCCACTGCACTCACCTCCTGCTGAGTACCTTGTGTTTGATCAGAGCTGTGGGAAAGTACCAGGATTGTGAAAAGAGGGTGCATGTGTGCTGCCCCACACAAATTAAATAAATGGGAGTCATATTAACCTGTGATGCTTATTTGGTATTCACAGTTCTTATGTAGAGAGCAAGAGCTGCCATAGGGCTTACTGATAAGCAATAGCAACCACAGGAACCCTTTAAAACAGAAGCTCATGGATAGTGGAGGCTGTATTGCAGTGGATCTGCAGGACTGAGCTTCAGAGCTGCATATTCAGGGTCTGAGTAAGAGAGCCAAATATATACTTGTTTATCAGCAAAATAAAAAAAACAAACATGATTAATTAATAGCTGGGCATGATTGACATATAAGCTCTTCACATGCCTGAGCTTTGCTTTTCTTTGGGTAAGAAGCTGAAGTTCCCAGAATGCTAAAAAGCATTAAGAGAATATAGCTGGTTTGTCTTCATCAATGGCAAAGTGAGTAAAAAACTCTTTAATTATGCAGTGTTGTATATTGGTTACCTATCAGAGAGCCTGCCTGAGGCAACTTATCATTAATAAGAATTGTTTTTGTTAGCCCTGAACTGTAAATCTCAATTAAACTAAAGTGGTGACAATATATAGACAAATTTAATCTCAATGTTTTTTATTAAAAGAGCTTTTAACTGAAGTTGCATTGAGATCAGCTAACAAACTCATACCCATACATTATCAACTAGAGAACTTTGTCTTCACTATTTTAATTCATTTGGTGCTTGTTTGTTTGGAGTTTTTTGTTTGTTTATTGTTTGTTTTTCCTAAAATAAGCACACGAAAGGCTAAATGCAACACTATCAAAAATAAAACTCACAGAAAAATCCTCACCAATGTGACCCATAGATGTGAACATCACCAAAGTGAAACAAGCACCCCACTCATTTTTTATGAGGAATAATGCTTTGCCATACATCCCTCACATGGCTCTCACCTCAAAGATGAACTTGGAACTGCCAAAGTTTGTCTTCTGCTTCTGCCAGAAATTATCAGGTTTTATAATCAGGGCAACATGAATCTCGGCAGGAAAGGCTTCTTGAAGGGTCTTTAGGAGAGGCTTGATCAAATCCCATTTTGATCCCCGCATATCAATAATAACAGTGAATCCTCGTTTACAGACATCTTCGCTGTAGGAATAAAAGCATGTCAACATAATTAATACTGAGGGCAGTCACAATGAGGTTTAACTTATCTTGCTATCATTCAGTGCTGCAGAGCAAAGCAAGGGATGATATACTTCAAAATAAAATGCAAAAGTGTACAGCACTGAGGTTATCACTTTTAAGAGTTTTGCCATAATCTAATCTACATGAAGTGTATACATTTTAATCTCATATTTCCTAAGAACAGGCAATTCAAATTTTCACCAAAATCACCTGTAGTTTCACACAATCCAAATCAGAATCAAATCTATCTATATAGTACCTGAATATATATGTGTGCAAGAGATTTTGCTTTCAATCTGTTGAATTTAATTCACAATCAAAGCCAGCAAGCAGTATCCTGTGCCTTAACATTGCTGACTGCTCATATATTTGGGTGCTTTCATTTTTAGAGGCCCCACTATGGGCTTTTTAAAAATGTGCAATTTCCAGAAAAGTGCTTGCCAATCATTCTGTGAAAGGAAGGTCCTTGTGACTCACTATGTGCACTGCTGAAATTGAGGCCCTTTTCCCTTCTGATCGATCTTCCAAACGTTGCTGGGCTTTTTATGTCTGCCGCCTTAATTTTCTGCCAGTCTGTTCTCCTTGCTTCTCAAACATTAAAGATGGCTGTCTAGCCTCATCCTTAACAATGTGCATGGAACAAGAGCACCACAGCACCATCTTGCCACATGCCTTTCCTTTTTTATTCACAAGAGAAGAGAAAAGATGAAAGAACATGTAGATTCAAGTCAAATCTGGGCAGCTTTCTGAATAGCTTTTCCAGGCACATAGTACAGTTTCTCAGAAAAAGGGGTATGGCTTAAAAGTGTCATCCTCCATCTGCAGCATCCAAACATTAGATTAGAACTGGCCAGTGTTGACTCCTCTGAATGCCCAGCCAATACACCTGCTATGCATGGCACTGAGCTCAGAGAGCCAAGGTGTCTCCTGTGGGCCCTGTGCAATTGCATAAAACACAAAGTCTCAACCCCCACTAATATTATTGGGATGTTAATGACTAAAAGTCACTGTCAAAGCACTAAAAAAAGACAGCATGGCCTAATTGCTGATCACAATCCAGTCACAACACAGCCGTAACAAGAAGATGCAGAAAGAAAAGAACTGCAGAAAGAAGAAAGGACGATACAAACCAAAGAAGAGGAGCATGGCAGAACATGAATCTATTTTGTATAATGAATGTAACAGGGAGGTACAGAACAAGAGATTCTCTTCAGCACATGAATAAAGCACACTTGGCCTTTCTGCAAACTGGCCGTCATTACAAATAGCTTCATAAAGGTATACGTAGACATAAAGGCTTATGTCAGATACTTAAAAATAGCAAATGTTGATATGGATATCATTAGAGAGAGTCCAAAATATGCTGAAGACAGATATTATTAAGCATGCTTATAATGCACAATCATAATACTCTGTTTAGACTCTATGAAGACTCTCAGTGCACACACATATTTTCACTATATTCTACCTCTTTGAATCCTTGAACACTTCCTGCTGGTACAATCTAGATTACACGTATCTCACTAAAACAACTCTGTAAAGCTCTCTAAGTCAAAGATGGAGTATTTTTCATAGGAGGCACACTAGATTAACATTTAGATTAACATCTAAAATGAAAGCCCTTGGTGAGCTCACTGAGATGTAAAAACATTTCTGCACTGACTGCCTCACAGCAAAGGGTTTTTTTCCATGTTAAGGGAAGTCCCTAAATTCTGCAGCCTCCATTCAGTGCCAGGAGCAAGCGGTCACAGCCAGTGTACTTGGTCCTCCACCTTATTGGCACACTCAAGGCATGCTACATACAACACTCTGTGCAAAGAAACATGAGGCAGACCAGGCACCTCCAAACACTGTTAGGAATACAGATCTTTTTATTCTCCTTTTACCTAGTGCTGAAAGGTCAGACATCTGATCCTGCCATAACTAATGCCAAAAAATGCTGTCAAAGAAGCTTTGTTGGTGTTGCTACTACCTCTTGCCCTTTGGAACTACAGCGGAGACAAAGAACCGAATCAGAAAGGACCTGAATAGGGGTTCTGTGTTGTTTTTTTCTTGCAGAGTTTTATGGGGTCTTCAGCTACTTCTGCCAATTCACCGAACCTTGTTATACTGAATGACTGATTTTTCTTCAAACATTTGACACAGAGATCCAGTAGGCAAACAAAGAAAAAGGAGATAAGTGTTTAAGTATTTATTTAGATAGTAAGCTCCTTAGGGCAGAAATCATCTACCATGCTGTGTTTTTCTAAAGAGTTTGCCTCCAGGTACCTACACAGACTTCAGCTGCTTAGCATTAATTTGAAAAAAAATATGTTTTGAGAAAGTAGTCGTGCAAATCCAAATAATTCCATAAAATATTTAAAAACAATTTGTAAAAGCACAACTGAATGTGGATGTGAAAGGCTTACATAAATGTGGGGACATCTTGCAGTTTTAAAAAAACACACATTGAAAATGACAATATTCAAGTCGTAGTACCCCAGTACCGACAGCCATTGACAGGGCTCTAAAACAAGCCTCATTTGTAGACAACAAAACATCCATAAATTCTGGAGAGTCAGGGTAATCTGTGAACATTTGTCATCCTTGACAGTCAGTTATTTTTCATCAGTTACCTCAATATGTAGAGGAAATGACCCTAGGTTCCTTTTGAATAGTCTAGCCATGCTTATTAAATTTATTGTTTAAAAGCAACAACTGAAACCCTCCCTAGTTTAGCAATTGATCGGGAAAAGCATCAGCAGCAATCAAACTTCCTTTGCACTGTCCAAGCAAGGCACGCCTTATCCCCAACTCTCAGGAGGCTGCAGCAATCCACATATCTATTATGCACAAGCAATCATTTCAGGATGGCAATTAATGTTGATTGTGGTGTTTAATTTTTTCCGGTATCGATATTTGACCAGAAACTGGAGAAAACGCTCAGATGAAGGTATTTGGACAATCCATCAGCCTTTTGACTGTGCTCATCTGGACTTGATTTGCAGCAGTGAGCACAAAAAATCTGATAGGTGATGAGTCATTTCAATTGCTACACTGCTTTTAAACAAAGACTGAGACTACCTTCCAAGTTTACTAAAAATATCTGGGAATATTTGTAAAAACAATACTTATGATATGTTTGTTGGTGTTTTTGTGTGTGTGTGTGTTTGGTTTTTTAAAATTTTTTAAAAGAATAAATCCAAAACTCAAAAGTAGATGTGATAATTTTGTCAAAATAAACCCCTCTATTTTGGTTTCTAGGGTGCTTTCACAAGGTTATTTTCTCAAATTTCCTCTTTAATTCAGGCACATTCTAAATTGTGTTTTCTTTGGCAAGAGCTGGCTTGCTTGGGTACCAAACAATATTGAGCACTTCATGCTTTCTGATTAATCTTTGAAAAAACTATCATTGATTATATGTATTTTTCATCCTTGCAATTTGGCCAAAGCTTCTGGCATTTAGAAGCTTCAGCACTTGATTAGCTGAAATAACACAGTATCTCCATTCCCATTTTGCAGTCACGAGTTAATGAAAAAGCAACACATTTAGCACGCCTGTTGGGCCACTGAAACCACAGATCTGACATATATGGCATCTCATTGAGAATATGATTTGTTAACAGTGAGAGTGAGATCTCCTTAAAGGAGGGTCAGTGTAACCTTGTCAGGGGACACTCTCAGCATTACAAGTAGCTCGACAAGCATCAGTTTGTAAGTACAAAATCTGCAGGAGCTTAATTATTTTTGAGATCAACATTCTGTTGACAAATGTGGCTGTAATCAGTCAATTGATTCACTAGCTGAGGGTGGAAAAGGGAGAGGAAGAGGAGAAAAATTAGTATGTGACAACCTCTCTGAGGCCTCATCTCATACTGGGACCAAACTAACTCTCCTGGCTAGTTTCAGTATGCTGAGGATCACTTCAGTAACTAAAGTGTTAACATGTTTTATCTACTGCAATTGTTTATCCATCTTGTCTGCGGTTTGTTTACACAGCTTGAAAATGAAGCTGGCTGGGGACGTTTGTAATCAGTGTCACTTACTGGCTGTAATTGTTTGGTTCTTCACTACCAAGTTGAGCCTGAAGATCATCTTGCCAACAGAAATAGTTATCTGCTTTGTTAATATGCTTTCCAGTGAATTTGGAGGACAAGATAGTCCTTTTTTATAGACTTATTTATGAAGCACTCTTGAACCCGCATTATTTATTAAAATATTGGACATTTAATACTTCTCAAAAAATTGTATCATGCTCATCATTCCAATTAGCTTTCCAGTTATCATTCCAATTAGCTCCTGTGCGCTCACACTGCCACCAGTGGTGTCCCACATCCCCCAGTGGCTGTTGCTGTCGGGTATGCTGGAGCAGTCCATCTGCATACAGATCCCAGGATGCCTGCTGATCCTCACATCCTCTTACATGCTGGTGCATCAACCAGCAGTGGGGAAAGGCACATCCTGAGAGCACCATTACTCTGGATAGCAATTCCAGGAAAGCTCCCACCAGACAAGTTCAGCTACCTAGAAGTCTGTAGGTAGACAGGCTTCAGCCTAAATTTTTCCTTTTATGTTTTCTTACTTGGTTTCACAACGCTTTTTTTGTAACTAGAAGAGAAACATTAATCCAGCCCCCATTTCCAATCAATCCTTTGTTCCTTACTGTGACCTAAATTTGTTTCTCCTCTTGCAGCTTCAAAAAGGAAATGCTCACTCTCTTTTTCAAAAAAGGCAGTTTCACATTGGCTGAAGCTGGACATAAAGCAGCATCGCAGAGAAATTTCAGTGACATCTTGTAAAGAGACTTGGAGCCGGTGAGGTCCGGTCAGAGACAAAGCTCCTGTCTCTGGTTTCCAGCCATTGCTCTTAGGGGACATGAGATGTGACTGCAAATGGCACTAGAATGCAGATGCCTGGGCTGCACAATGTCCACATTCAACCCCTAGTTTTGGACACTTGTCAACAGGAGGGAATAGAAAAGC